CCCCTCTTCTCACAAGCTGCTGGCCTCAGTTTATACATCAGAAAGTCTAAGGTCGTCAAGCTGCCTCACAGGCAGGGCTGCTGTGGTCAGCTGCTCAGGTGGGACACTGTACAACTCCAGGGGGCGCCACAGGTGAGGAGCAGCCCTGGAGCTGAGCAGAGCTGTAACCTTTTGTACAAAGGGGTACTGTGACAATTTCATTTATTACATCAGTTTGGAAAATGCCAGAGACTGCGAGGTTAGCATCATCACAGCAGTTTTCAGAAGAAGTTTTACGATCCTCCTTTGCAGAGTCTAAACATTTATGGTACTTTTTAGCTCACTGTGAAATCAGCAATCACAACAATGACAAAAACACAAATGGTTTAAATGCAGGTGCTAATCTCTACCCCAAGATTGCTCTAGTTATTTCTCAAACTTGAACAGGTATGTGACTCATTTGGAAAACTGTGAAAATGCAGATTCTAATGGGAGGAGGGGGTTTCGGAGGGGGAAGAGAAGGGAGGGGCTGAGAGTCTGCATTTCTGACCATCTCCCCGGACCTGGTACTGGTGAGGCTGCCGCTGCTGTCTCAGGGACCACACTTGGAGTGACTCTGTAACTCCCGCCAGCACCAGGCACCGGCATAAGGGATGGAATTTTTTTTTCCTCTTGATTTGTTGAGAACTAGCTAGAAATAATGGGTCAGGAAAGAGGCCCGTAGGCCAAATCGAGCAGGCTGCCTCTTCTGTTAACTACAATGCTACCCACGCCCATGTATTTACATATTGCCTGTGGCTGTGTTTGTTTATATATTTATTTCCTGTCTATGGCTGTATCTGTAACACAGCCAGGCAATTCCTTTACACGTTGTCCGGGGCTGTCTTTGCACAACAGCAGCAGGGCTGAGTCGTTGTGACAGAGACAGTATGGCCCGCAAAGCTGAAAATCTGTGCTGGCTGGTCCTTTAAGAAAAAGCTTTCTGACCCCTGAGAGAGAGGACCAAGCAGCTGAAGTGAGACGGACTTGCACTGAGCGGGTGCAGGGGACAGAGTGAGACAGGCTGGAGCGAGAAACGCCGGCGTTAAAATCAAACACACTTCATTACACAGGGTTTTCAGCCCCGAGGCCCACTGATTTCCGAGGAGAGTGAGTTACTGTCAGCCCTTCTCTACAGCACGATGGTAGATTATGTCTCCTCAGGTTTCCCTGCTGGTGGAGAAACCAGATACACCCCGGGAAGCCGTGGCCAGTCCATCTTGGCCTCCATCGCAGGGGCCTCAAGGAACTGGCAGGAACCGGCGCGGATGCAGGGAAATGTGGTTCTGCGAACTGTGGTCCAAGGTGTTACAGGAAACTCAGCCGGCCCCAGCTGTGGCCAGAGGCACAGCCAGCCACCCCCTCAGCGGACCAATTCATCCTGACACTGAGCCCCTGAGCAAAGGCTCCATTGTCGAGAGGTTGGCTGTAAATAACCGCCTTGTGCTGATTTCAGCATTTGTTCCTAAAACGTACGTTTTATGGTTCTGTCGACTCTCCAAGCCTGGCTGCTCTGATCCCACACATGAGTCACTAGTTGTCCCAACCACCATTCTGATTAGGTGACTCCCGCCTCTGCTTGAATACCTCTGGTGATGGGGAGCTCACTCCCCCCAACACACATTCTTATGCAACTCTACTTGCCAGGAAGATACTCAGTGAACCGAGGTCACGCTTGCTTCCACAGGATGCCTGTCCACTCTCTGCCCGAGTGCTGTTACAGAGCCCGAGAGAAAGTCTCACCTGCGTCACCGTCACAGACCTTCAAACCTCTTCTTGGAGACGATCTTGGTTGGATATGTTGCTTGACTCCTTGGAGCCTCCATTCTCACATTTGCGCTAGGAAGGACCTGACTGAACAAGGAGACCACCTGTGAGGGCCAGTGTGGCAGTGCCTATCCAGCCTGTCCACAGTATCCCATATGATGCTCAAGCCTGTGGTGTGGGGTGGAGATCAGTTACTCTTATTCTAAAACTCAGGACTGAGGCTCAGAGGGTAACTGATAGGGCTGGGGAGGGGCTCAAATCCAAGCACATCCTACCTGATGCTCTGTGGGTCTTGTCACTTCCCTCTCTGGAAAGTAGAGGACCCACCTGGGGACAAGGAAACCCTTAGGCCTCCCAACTCTGGATCTGAGGATCCCAGAACAGGCCTCTGGAGGCTTAAAATAAATCAGGTCAATCACAACCTCTCTTTGTTTAGAAAAATGAAGGGTTTTATCAACTTCTCCAATGGGAAGTCATATTTCCACCCTTGTCCCCATTTGATTATCCCTTCCCAGCTGCTACTGAGATCACAGCTTCAGAGATGGTTAAATGTTTGTCATATTTAACATTATTGTCCCCATTTTTCACACACCGGAAGGTGACTGATGCTTGTTGAAAGGCTGGGATTAAACCTCGGTTGTGTGTGCAGGCCAGTGTCCACACCACTGCCCAGACGTTTGTCGTTGGGGCGGTGCAGGACAGGGTCTTGTCACATGCAGGAGTGAGGCTAGGCAGCCAGGGACAAGGGCTCGTGGGGTGCTAAGTCCTCTGCCTACATGTCCCTAACGGCCCCTGTTCTGTCTAGTTCTCCCCACCACCCTGCCCTTCCGGAGGTATGGCTCTGTCTCCTCCATTATTTCTGTCCTGTCCTCCGTGCCAGCATCTGTGGCTCCCCCTGCAAGCGTCTCCCCTCCTTCCCCCACAGCCACCAGCCAACCATTCCCAACTACATATCCAATCAGGTCACATCACTACTCAAAATCCTTCCGTGCCTTCCCATCGTTCCCAGGATAGACTCCAGACTCCAAGACACGTCCGAGCAAGGTCTGCTCTGCTTGACCTCTGCCTGCTCTGAAGCCTGGTCTGTGATGGCGACCCTGTGTTAGAGCAGGCAGATAGCTCGGTATGAGCAGAGAAAGGGGGACACAGACCAAATGGCAGAAATTGGGCAGAAAGGAGGCGCACAAGCCAAATGCAGGAAACCACACATTATGTAAGCACCAGGGGTCCCTGGGCAGAGCAAGAAAAAGCAAGAACCTCTGGGCTGCTAAGTGGTCACAACTTTTGGGGTGATAAGCGGCCCAGAGGCCAACAAAGAAAGGTGGGAAAAGGCAGGAATCCCCAGTGTCTGAATGTAACCTTTTGCTCATTATGTCCTCGTTTCGATAGAATTAGCCTTGCAGATCAGAAGTACCCATCATGCACCGACGCCATGACACTCTCAATCCAGACTAAATAAGGACAGAAGTCCCTCCTCCCTTTGGGAAGGTGAAGTTGGGATGGAAATCGGGGAACACGACACCAGACCCTTCCCTCCCTAATGAATATTCCCCCCATTCATTTTTACACCCTATGTAACCAACTTGCCAAAGAAATTCGTGGCAGCTGCTCACCTGAGCCTGCCCACTCTCCCCTTGAGAGTGTACTATCCGTTACTTAATAAATCCTCACTTTACTTTTTTAACCTCAGTGTCCTGTCTCTAAACTCCTTCTGGGATGGGACAAGAACCTGGAATACCAATTACACCCACCGGCAACACCTGCAGCCTCAGGCCTGGCCTCCGAGGGTTCGCTTCCAGTCACCCCCATGTTGTCAGACTCTAACCTCCGCACACGGCCCCCTCTGCCTGGAAGTGTCTTTCCAGCTCTCCAAGAGGGCGGATTTGGGAAGGCCACAGACGCCTGACCCATCTCCATCAACAGTGCCTTTGTTCTCTCCCCTTGAATCTGGGCAGGCTCTGTGGCTGCCTTGACCAGTGAGGTTCAGGGGAAGGAACACTCTGCCAGCTTGTGGCCCCAAAGCCTAGAGAGACTGGCAGCTGCCACCCCCTCTGTCGGAGCTCTGTGAAGCCATACAAGAAACCCACTGCCCCACTAGAGAGGCCGGCTCCCAGCGGCCCCCACCAAGGCTCTGGGCAGGCGGTGGGGGGGAGCTTTGTTGGATCCGCCAGATCAGACTAGCTTCCAGGTGGATACTGTTAAATGACCTCAGTTAAGGCCACATGGAGCAGAAGAATCACCCAAATGAGCCCTCTCCAAACTGCTGCCTCACAGACTTGTGAGATACAACAACATGGTGGTTGTTTTAAAGCACTAAGTTTTGGAGCAGCTAATTACACCATAACAGACAACCCAACACTCTCTCCCCCGCCCCTCTGCTGTAACAGGCACGCCTCCTTTGGCTCAGACGTCCCTTCCTCCAGAAAGCCTTTTCTGACGACCCATGTCCATTTTAGGTGCCTCTGCTCTGTGTTCCTACAGAAATCCCTGGCCCTCCCATCAGAATGTGCTGGTGGCTAACTTCTGTCTCCTGCTGCTTTACGAGGTCCCCAGAAGTGAGGATCTTAGCATTGGGCTTCCAACGGGGAGCACAGTAGTTGATCAGTAAATATTTCTTGACTAAGTGAATGCACAAATAAATGAAACACCAGGGACAACTAAGAGGTTCTGGTTAGGGGTGAGAGGTAATCTAAGGACACAGAACCAAATTCTTAGAGCCAGCAGGCAGGCTTAAATGAGTCTCCATCAAGGCTAAGAGGGAACGGATGCATACATTACGTCCAGCCCGAGGAGGCTAGATTTACATAGTCCAACAAAAACATGAGTGACTATGTGACCACTGAACATCACTAAACATCTCTCTCTGTGATCAGCAGTCCCTACCAGTGTTATGTGATAAGGCGGTTGACAGCCTCCCCCTACCCCGAGCGACTCCCCCTGTAGACAGCACGAGCACTCACCTGAACACCAGGCCTAGTTTACTTGTGGCATTCACTTGGTCAAAAAGCATGTATTGAACATCTCCTGTGTACCGGATGCTTTGTCATTTGGAGCCAAAAAACACAAGGTCAGCAGGACCATAACGGCCAGACCAGGAGCAGCCCAAACAGACTGAGCGCTGATCAGGGAAGGCCACTCCTTTGCAGGTGACTTGAGATGAGTTCTGGAGGAAAGGCAGAGAGATCCTGGCATCCCTTACTTCTCAGTCACTAAGGAACAGACTGCTCGTGGCCAATAATTAAGAAATTAAAAGCAGCTGGGATTGGAGCTGAGAAAGGGAGGTCTCCTCTGGTGGGGCAGGTGCAGATGCTTCTCAGAAAAGAGAAATCAAACAGGCAAAGCCCAGGGCCTTCGGTGATGGAGGAAGGCTGGGACCTGTTAAAGAGGAGAAAAATGAAAAGCTTCAGGCAAAACCCAGAGTTAAAGCTTAATTAAGAAAAGCCGGCATTTTAGGTTCACACAAATAAGCAAACAGAATCCCCTCGGCCCCTCCTCTGATCATCACCAAGTAATTGCTTTAAAGCTGTGGTTTGCTCGGCTTGGACGATCCTTAAATACATGTTGATAAAAAGTCGTGGAGATATGAGTGAGTGGAGAGCAGATCCTCCTGCACACCTCAGTTCCTAGCTTGTCCTTGGCTGTGTGTGCCTGGGCAGGTAACCCCCACCCGTGGGGCCCTGTTTCCCTCTCCGCCACCGGGGCGTGGGGAGATGGAGTTGAATGGATCCTGAGTCCCTTCTCATCCTGGAATTCTGTGACCTACTCTGATGTTTTGGCATGAACTCACTTTGAGTCCAATCCTGGGGTCACTCCATCAGTTACTACCTGTGAGATCTAAGGCACAGCAAAAAAAAAGAGAAAAAAGAAAAAATTTCTTATAGGACTCAAAACTTTAATGGCATTTCCATAATAGTTAGGAAAGAGAACAAGCCCTCAAGAAGAAAGCAAAATGCCAAGATCTCCATACCACGATTATTTTTAATCTATGAAACAGGATTTCCTTACAAATTAAGTAGCTTTTATAGTAGTGACACTTATCATTGATGTGATGTTTAATATGACTGTAGTCAGAAGGGAAGTTGGGCCAGTTGTTTTTCCAGAAATTGAAAAAAGTACCATCACAAAGAGAAGAAAGAGAAAGATTTGTATCTATCTTTCTGAGACATGTAAGGTGAGATGGCGTCTCACAGGTGGAGAGTTTGCGGATATTGCTGGAGGAACGAGAGACGCTCTCCAGTGGGCAGGTACTCCCTCTACCCCAAACACTGCTATTTTGGCCAGAAATTTTTGCCCCACCAGTCACCAGTGGGTGTGTTTGATCTTTGCTCCTGATTAGAAGGGCTAAAATGAGAGAATCCTGGACTCTCCACCCTTAGCACTTTGATCTTTGTTTTTCCTCACCTTCAGATTAGAATTTTTAACGCAGACCCCCTAACTCTGAGAATTAGGGCAACCAAAGTCCAAAGCATCAGTATACAGGAAAGTTAATCTTCTTTTTCCACCAGAGAGGAGAGCGGCTGATGTCTACCACAGGGGCACCACCCAAGCCAGTCACCGTCAACAACTCCAGAAGGCTGAGTGGTGCGCTCACGGAGGGGGGGCCGGCGGGCCCCGCAGGTGCCCGTCCTTGCTGTGCTGCCATGTGGAGCAATGCTCTTCCTCCCTGTGCTCCTCTTGCTGAACTGATCATCCCTCTTTCCTCTTCTGGCCGTGACTTGGGAGCCCCTTCCTCCTCGATGCTGCCCCAGAGCCCAGGTTCAGGGCTGGTTTTCCAGCTACCATGAAACCCTTCAGGATGCATCACAATTACCTGTCTCTGTCCCCCCCATGTACTCCCACTACTCCCAGGACTGGAAGCTCTGGGAGGGCAGGGACCACATGGGTTTCCTTCACTGCTTCGTCTCCCAAATGTTGTCTGGCATGTTGTAGCAACTCCATGACTATGACCTAAATCCATTTTTTAAGTCATTCCAACCCTCCTCCTGCACTGCACTAGCTAACTGTGTCATCTTAGGCCAGACAAAACACACCTCTCTAGTCTCACCTGTGAAATGGGCTCGCCAGTAGCTGGCACACTGAATCACAGTTAGACCACCAATTGTACGATGCCTGTTTTCTCATAGATCACTTAGAAAGAAAGCGGATACTGCCGAAACACTCTGACCTGATGTTTTAAATCACTTGGCTTTTTCATTGTAGAATTAGTTTAGTACCTCTTTGAGGCTTAATGGGCATAATTTTATTCCATGTCACTCTTGAGCACCTATAAAAAGGAAAAATTATCAAGGAATCCAATTGGTTGAACTATTCGTAAGTCTTCTTCATATTCAGAGTCATTTTGTGATTCAGAATCCTGAATTAGATAACTCTGCAAACAACACGGTGCTCGATGTCATCAAGGTTGTTGGTGATGCAGTCTTCCTTACAAGAATCCTTGAAAGAACCAAAAATCATGTTTGCCGAGTGTTTAATCTGGCTTTGCAGGGAGGCCGTGCTGATCTGCTACGATGTCTGCTTCCAGAATATCGCTCAATACCTCTGATTTGCCAACTCCGCCACACTTTCTCCACAATTATGTGATTCCTGGTTATAAAAGGATGCTCTGCTTCTGGAATTTTCTCCCAAGCTGCGGACACCCATTCTGTGAGTTTCGATGCTGGTACAAGCACAGACAATGACAAGTGCATCACAGTGTGACATGACCAGCAGCAATCACACAATGACATCAGTGAGGAGGCACAGCCCCATTTCGAGACATTAATGAAGAAAAAATATCCATCTTGATATTGATGAATTACAGTACTTCATGGGGGCTGTTTTTAGAATGAAAGCATGACTTTTTTTTTGAAAACCCTCTAGCATAGTGCCTTGTACATGGTGGAAACTAACATCATTTTTCTGTCTTTTTTTTTTTTGCAAGCCTGGAGACGTTACCTCTGATTGTAAGTCTCCTGACTATGATGAGCAGTTGATGGAAGAGAGAGAAGGATTCAGTACAGAGAATGAGCATCTGATGGGAAACAGGAAAAAAAATAAGAGGAACTACAAGGCAGTGGGTTTCTAAGCCTACCTCTATAGTCATTTTGTAATTTATTACCCAAACCAGGACACTTCTGAGAGTAAAAAAGATCACTCTGAATAATCTCACTGGGACCACACTCAAAAACTGGGGCTGACCCAGAAGAGACTGGATGTGCAACAACCCGCTATATCCCATCTTCCATCCTGAGAGTCAGGCTGAAATCAGATGCAAAAGTTACTGTGCTTGGGCTGGGATGCCTTTCTCCAAAACCAGGAAGGCCACAAGATAACTGGTGGGCATTCAGGCACTGCTGGCTCCCATCCCAGGAAGGCTTAACAATAAATCCCCAAACTGGTTAAAATCCGAAGCTGCAGTCTGTGGGAGATGCCCCCCTTCCCCAGCTGTTATTTATGGTGCAGAGAAAAGGAGCCACATCGGTGATGGATCGGCCTTTATCGGATAAAAATGGGAGGAACAGTGAAAGATCATGGTGAGATATTGTGCAGAATTTCAGGAGGACACTTTGAAAACGTGTATTAGAGAAAATGAATTTTTCACTGGCTAAAATGTATCCATTTACAGTCGGGACATCCATATATTTATGGGTGTTTTTAGCTCTCAAAATAGTAACTCAGGACAGAATAACAAACAGTCTCTTAATAGCCCTAATTTATCAGACTCAGCAGTTTAAGAAAAATAAATAAAAGGAAACAGGAATGTATGTGTGTGAGAGAGAGAGAGAAAGAGAGAGGTGGGAATCTGAAATACTGGAAATTCTACTGCCCAGAAGGTTACTCCATGTCTATCTTCTTAAAAGAATGTATCTCAGAGAGAAAGAAACCCATGGGTGGTTTGAAAGCACCCAAGGTTGGATGCTGATGGGGGTGACGAAAGATGGGGGTGAAGAAAGTAGCTTGGCCATGTAACTCCATCTCCCTTTTCCAAATGAAGACTTTGCCATCACGTCTTTGAATGTTATCTCTTTGAGGACTCTAGTTCTCAATCTCCTAATTGTTTTCTTCATTCTCCTGTCTCTTTCCTTGTCTGAGGTTTTCTGTGGACTGCAACCAATTGACATCTGCAACGTCACTTTGATCATCGCCTCCCTCTGGGATGCCAAGATGCCACAGAGTGGAAAGTACACACAAGTCGGAGACAGGCAGACCTGCTCAAATCTCTTTTCTGACGCTTTGTGCTGTGTGACCTGTGGCAAGCTCTTGGACCTCTCTGAGCCTTGGGCTAACCTCTCCATGAAATGGGGTTATCACAAAACCACCAATCCCTTCTGTGCATAACTTTCCTTCATCACTAGAAATGTCTTCTTCATCCTGAGCTGAGGTCTTCTCCCTGTAGGTTCCCTCATCAATTAAAAACATGGCTCATAGTGTTCAACTTACTATGATTTCAACCTAGGGAAAAACATTATTTGCAACATGTAATAGCTCCCTTAATATATAAAGAGTTCTAAGATGTTAATAAGAAAAGTATAGCCCAAGTAAAATCATCATCATCATAGGAATAACAGGAAAAGGACATGAGCAGGAAATAGTCAAAAGAAGAAACAAGAATGACCAACCAAAAATGAATATTTAAAAAAGAAAATCATCCAAACTGGTCAATAAAGAAAGAGAAATTAAAACAATGCCTGTGCACTTTTACAAGGTCGGAAAGAACAATACTAAGTGCTGAAAACTATTGCTCATGAGGCTGTAAAATTGGTAGAACTTTTCTGGATGGCAGTGTCAGATATCTCTGCAGAGTCCTAGATATTCGCAAACACTATGACTCTAAAATTGCATTCAAGAAATGTATCTCAAGGACAGTGTTTTTCTGAAGTGTACAAATATTTCTATATAATGATGTTTATCATGTTATTTAAATTACAGAAAATGGGAAAACATTCTAAATGTCCAACAACAAAAGATGGGTCATGTAAAGTAAGATCAAATGTAATTCATTGCAGACATTTAAAATTACGCTTTGGAGAAAATTTAGTAACAAGCATATGTGCGTAAAACAATTATCGGGATACACAGTTATCTCTGGGTGGTGGGATTATGAATGACTGGTCTCCTCTTTTCTTTGCCTATTTCTGCATTTTTGAAATTTTCATTTTAAAGGAAGAAAGGAGAAAAGAACAGAAATGAGCAGGAGAAAAGAGTGGACACTGCCAAGAGAAAGCTTTGTTCCTACCAGGCTCTCTACTGGACGCCAACCCAAACAGCAGAATGAGTCAGGAGACAGGAGGTGGGGCTGGGTGACTTGCCCCTGACATCCTGTGTGAGATTCTGCTCTTTCCTTCACCTCGCTGCACCGCGGTTTTCCTCCTTGTCCGATGAGGATGAGCGCCGCC